ACCTCCTTCTTAGACGGGTCAACCAACGTCAGCGAAGCGACCAAATTGAGGTTGCCTATCTCCACTGGCTCAACAACGGCTACTATGTTAGGTCTCTGGACGGGCCACGGCTGCTGTAGCTGAGCGAGTACAACAATTCCAGAGCGTGCCGGTATTACCACATCCTCCTCTACCGTCACACGACAGCAAGGAACCGATGTTTGGTGCTGCACAGTAACATCTTGTCCCCCAAGAACAAAGCGACCCAACGAGGGATACAGAACACAGTCCCATTTGCCAAGATAGTCCATACCTAGAATGCCCATCCGTGACCCTAGATCAGCGACAACAACCGTGTGCTCCACAGACCAGCTTTCAATCGTCAAGTTGACATCAAGTGCACCATGAGACACTAATGACTCGCCACTGGCAGTACGCAGTGGTACTTGAAAAGAATGCAGTTCTGGAATGTACGAATTTTTCTGTAACATCGAGTAAACAGCGGTGTCAATGAGCGAGACACCCGCACCAGTATCAATCAAAAACAAAACAGGCACGTTATTGACCAAAGCCTTGACATGCCATCCATTAGTCCATGTAAGAGAAGAAATCATAGTCGAGAGAAGTGGGTCCATATCATCATCTAAAATCATGTTAGCAGGGAGTGCGGACCTCATCCCTGCTGTTCCGAGTTTAAAGACTGGTTGGGAGTGGGAGCACTACTTACTGGTCTTTGTTCAGTGGTCTGGGAACAGTTTCGGCTAATATGCCCTGGTTGTCCGCATCGGAAACAAGTCGGTCCACCCGTGTTGTTTGGACAATCTCGAGCCCAATGACCCGTTTGCTTACAGCGGGGACATGGTGTGGACGGTAGTGTAAGAGCTTGTGGACTGCGACAATCACTGATCCTATGCCCCACCTGTCCGCATCTGAAACAAGAGGTACGAAAAGTCGGAGATACGCGGGATCTCGACGTTTCCGCAACTAAGGCCTCCAGTTGTGCCAGGCGGTTTAAAATCTCCTGGACTATATCAGCTCCAAATATCACCTCGGCCTTATCGCTAGAAATCTTTGCAACAGTAGCCCTTGGTTTGATCACCTCTTTTGCGGGTTCCCATGACTTCTCATAATATTGATATCTGGTAGCCAACGACATTGCATCTTCCAATGTGGCGGGTTGCAAAAGACCAATGTGCAAACGAACTTTGTCGTCTAATCCTCGCAAAAATTGCGATTTTGCCAAGTCATCTCGGTCAGCGGGTCTCAAGTATGGATAAGCTCGCCTAGCAAGCTGTCTCAATGCAACGCCAAATTCATTATAGGTTTCTCTTGCCAACTTCACGCGCTGACTAAAAGCGGCTCGAAGCGCTTCAATACCACCTTCCACTTCAAAATACTTCTCAAAATGGCGTACGATCGACTCAAAACATTCACGCTCATCCATAGACAATTCTAATAAATGACTCAGGCCATCGCCTACCATGCAAAGGCCCAATTCGCTCCCCATCGTGTCCATATCCCAACCATTAGACTTGGCTATAGCTTTAAAATGATATAGAAATGAGCCCCAAGGCTCCGATCCATCAAACTTCTCCGGCTGTCTTTCTGGCCTGAACATAATCCCACATGCACTAGTACAACCCTTTGTCATAGGGGTAGAAAAACCAACCGGATACCTGGGCATGATAGGTGGAGACTCCATTTCCGGCATCGGTCTACTCCCGCAGTTGTTGTCAGGTGGTGTAACTTTTGACTCAGTGTGCTCTGCCTTGTCACTCTGGTCCTCCCTCATCACATAACTCTGTGGTGCCATTTTGCCTGCCCCTTCAGCTATTCTTCCGGATTCGTTCAAACCGACTTCGGCACTTTTGCTTTTCACTAATGTCTCAATCACATTCTCCTGAAAACCATGCAGTGTCACTTGCAGCTCCTCTCGCCAATCTCTCACATCTTGATTAAGTACCATCGCACTGTCATAACACTGTTTTACATCATTCCCAAGTTCATCTACTGCTCCTTCGATTCCTTCTACTCGCGCTTCCATTGTTGTCCATTTAGCCTCCAGTACCTTCATTCGAGCAACGAAGTCATCCTCTCCCTTCCTTTGAGCGTTCCTTCTATTTCTGCGTGACATATTATGTTTAGAAGATATCCTGGCGTGCTCTCGCCAAATTTGTAGCGTACCGGCAGTCTATGTAATAATTATCCAAGTTCAGAATATCTTCCAATATGATCTGACGTCAAGTTTCCTCCCAATATTCACTTCAATTTATACTATTTTGTTCTATTTATTAATTACAATCTTAATACAACCAAATACTCCAATGAAATCAATGAAACGAAAAGCATACAATAAAAATAACAAATACCAGGCAGTACAATATGAGAAAACAATAAAAATTAGAGACGGACCCTGAAATCAAAGACAACTTTCAATAGCAGCCAGAATAATCCCTATAATACGGTACACTAAACCAGCTACTTACAATTTGCTAAATAGGCTGAGAATAACCCATGACGGGCACTTTAAAAAAACCACAAACAATTCCACAGGTTCACAAGATTTGAACAGCACTGTTGATAGCCAATTTCATGAATAAACTAAAAATGCAACGCCAAAACAACTGTAATTGCACTGTACCGGTACTAAAACCATAATATCATCCTACTGTCTAGCATCAAAATATCTAACAATCCCAATCTAATAGTCATAAAACCAAGAGTAAACATCTTTGATAACCTACTTGAGACTTAGAGGCACTTTTGCAGATATAAAATACTCTTAAACACTCAAAATCTAACTGAAACAATCACAACTGCACTGCTGCAAACCACAGCATAGGCTAACAGGATACCAAAAAAACAAATCGACAGTGTCAAAGCGCCCTCAGTGTTAAAATACAAAATATAGCAATATTATCACATGACAACATTTAAAAGATAAAACAAGGGTCGTCACAATAACTTACTTATACATTTTTCAACAACGTCTTAGCATAACTTAACTAATAATAACTAAACAATGCTATGGAAAGGCTGCCCAACTCAACGCAAGGTCGAGCAGTAATAACTAATATTCATCCGCTCGCTAACAGCTGATTCGATTCAATTGTTACGTCATGCAGAAGTCATTGTTCATTGCCTTAAGATCGATAAGTAATAATAAAAACTCGGACCGCCACTCTCTCACTCTCTACGGTCTACCGTTCGTAGTTTTTATTCGGTATTCTCTATTCTTTCTGTGGCACATTTTCTATTTATTATGTGGTAATTTAATTCTAACATGTAATTGTTACGAGTTTACCCAGTATTATAATGGATACAAATGTTACGTCCGAGTTTTGTGTAGGCTTAGAACAAATTATGGCATTTATATGTAAACTGCGTCCTTACTTACAGAATATTTTACTTGCGAAGGGGCTTCCAAAACGAATTAATTTCGTAGGCCGAGTTTCTACTGTATTAACAGCCAGTTGTGATTATATTTATAAGATAACATCTTAATCAGGCCATAGCCAGGATTTTCAAAAGAGGTTCAAAATAAATATTAATCGCCTTGAAATCCTCGCGATACATATGTTCTCACAACACTGACTCCGCTCTGCCACTCCTATTATTTTTTTATTTTTCAAGAAAAATCCCTAGGTCTCGGATAAAATATAAAAAACCACGATATATTTTAGTACATTAAAAATTGACTGAATATGCAATACATTAATTATCTTTTATTTTATAATAACCAGAGTAAAAGTTCCATATGTCCCCGACGATAGTTTCGCCTCAACTTAAAACAGGGATGTGCAAACTGCGGCTTGATTAGAAAATTTGTAGGGCTCGCGAAGAAGCGCCAATTTTGAATAGTGTTCCCATTTAATCTTGAATGGTGTTTTTAGATCATTTAATTTGGTGCGTGCGAGCAATTTTAATCTTTCTCTCTTTCACAAAGCCTATATCAATAACTGAGTGCCACAGTTATATTACTAAAACAAGCTAGCAAAATCCTGTTACGAAATGCCCAATGTTATAAAAACGCGTTTCTCACTGAATCCGATTATAATTCAGAGCATATGAGCACACATACATGAAATTCAAAAGTTTATATTTATTTTTTATTGCATCATTGTCTTCTCACTGAATTTCGCTAGCAACACATTGTATAAACCCGCGGGAAACAAACGTGCCAGATATTTTTTTGGCGTGTCGCACAGGGTTGCAAGGTTGCATACCCCTGTCATAAAAGGTATATCGCAGGCATAGTGAAGGAATTCAGTGACTATGTGGTATAGTTCACAAGGGAAAATTTACCAACTGTAAAAGAGCTTTTAATCTGTCCACCGTCTAAAAAAACTAAAGGTATTTTTCGTTTCTTTATATATATTTCACAATACGGAACAAAACAACTTATTGAAACAAATGCAATGATATTCTGAAATGCGGTAAGTTTGCAGCGGGAAATTAAGCAAGCTAAATAACGGCGTGAAGGTGCTCAGAGACCAACGTTACGGATCACACTAAATTAGATCGGTTAATATAACAAAATGCAATCGCACGCCATTCAGACATTACACAATTTTTACAAATCGATCAGAAACCACCCTCTAGTCGCATATCCCACTTTGGGTTTAATATACGATGTCACGCACATGTTCGCATTTGTGGCCAATTATGAATTTGTCCAAATACTGCATACAATTTCTATTTCAACAGTGTATATGAATACGCCCGTATAAACATATTTACCATTAAATTTCCTGGTATATTACCCCATTTTACGAGATTTCAGGCCTTAATTCCACGCGGCTCCGCCATAAGAAAAGCATTGTTTAAGCCGCCCCAGAATATGATTTACAGAAGGTCTGTGGCGATAACAATGAGTTTTCTGTCCATTGTTAAGTCATCAATGGTAAAAGTACGGTGCTTGCCATCTTGTTGTTATGTAATATATATAGGTGATCACTGCCGATTCTTATGGCGACGGTATCACCATCAGGGGCGATAGAGATACCCAGAGATGTTTTTGAACGAGTTCGCCGATTTAGCTTTAGGGAAATATTTTCGGTAACGCACCGTACCGGTATTCTAACGCATCCCGGTACCGGTACTGTCCAAATTATCAACTTGGCAAGCGAATTTGTTAGAGAAATATTTTATATTTGACAAAGCAGATGAATGCAAAAAGGGATATAACACACAAGAGCCGTCAGCTTCCTTTTTTGTACCGGTGCCAGGAAAAAAAAAAATTCCATGCTGACGCTTATTATTTGGTCACAAGATTGAAGGTATAATATTTTAATAGTTCAAGATAAAATATATAAAATATTTGTTACTGCAAGAAGGTTTACAACTTGCAGACATAGGTTGTGGTACAGAATATTATGGAAATACAGTTTGTTTTTTGCCAAACCTAAATAACAATTTTTATTGAATTGTATACCAATCGGAATCTCATGGGGTGGGTTGCCAACCGTCCTTTATTTCAAAGGACAATCCTTTATTTAAGCTTTTTGGTCCTTCAGCATTTAGAAAATATGCTAATTGTCCTTTATTCTTTCCAACGTCGTTTTGCCCGATAGTTATAGTACTGTGTTTGATATTGTTCCGTTCTTGAAAAATTGCCTCCGTTTATATATTTGCAAGTTTTTAATTATTCTTTTTAATTTCGATTTGGTCCGGCTCAAATAACCAACGAAATAACAATTTTATTAACATTGTTTGGGTCAATGTTAAATAAAAATTAAATAAAAAACACATGAAGATTGTTTTGATATATCTTTTTAGCTTGTAAATTTTTTTTATTATATTGTTTTATATTGTTCTTTCCTGCAAGTTACAAAATAAATGATGACAGTAATCTATGTCCTTTATTGAAACTTTTCATAGTTGGCAACCCTAGATGAGACAAAAAAAAATGTCTGATGGACAAGCCTGGGTTTTGGGTAGTATGGATCAAATGTGCATGAAATGTAAAACTTATACGGTACTTGAAAACTTGTCGTAATTTAATGTTAATAAAATAAATATTTCTTTTCAATGCGCCATGATTTGTATCAATTAAAGTGATTGTGTCGGGAGTTTGAAAACAAGAAGTTCAAGATATATTTCTTATCATTATTCTCTCCATTCCAGGACTATGGAGGTTTCCCGAACTGCTTTCAACTCAGCCTGAAGCACAATTCAAGGATGTTTGATTGAAATGAATAAAGCTGCTGGACACGGACTCTACTCTAGTCTTGGGTATGAAAGATGTTTTATATCAAGATTTTCTAACTCATGTTTTCACTCTTTGTTTTTGTGACATTCCAAGACAAACACTTGAAACTGAATAATTATTGCAATGAAAACAAAATAAAATTTAAATGGTTCAAAGTATCTTTGTCCAAAACGTTTTGGCTGAAACAACTGAATCAATCGGATCAATAACCTTGCAATTAATGTGAATTTCTTTCTTTTCTCCTGTTTTAGGTTTTGAACTCTTATTGTCCAACCTTACTTTTCCTATTCTAATCTATCATAGTTGGGTCTGATTCAGGATATTGAAATTTAAATATGAAAACTTTGCATTCATATACATTTTTGGAGTGCTATCATTTTATTGGCCCACCAGTGAGCTAATCCTAAGTAAGGATTAGCTAGATGAGGCAATAGCAAAACATTACACACTGCCGTAATGGACTGGTTTGAACTTCTAGATCAGCCCTAATCAGCCTAGTACAGTGTTTCCCAACCCGAGTCCGCGGTCTCAAATGAGTCCGCAGAGTGTTTGAAAGAGTCCGCAACGAGCCAGAAATTCACTGCGGGCCGCAAACACATCCATCAGCCAAGTTACGATTTACGTTAAAATTTACATAAAACATAAAAAGCAAGTTTATTCACATAACATTAATCGAGTCAATAATTACTGGATACTGACTAGGACTGGGCATATATTCGAAAATTCAACTATTAGAATAGCAATTTACTATTCGAAAATTTGGAACAGATGAAGCGACAGGTCACTTGCGCGTCGCTTAATCAAACGATTGGATTTCACAACTCACTTGCGGATTCCCGACAAAAACACGAGTCGGCACACGCGTGGATAGCTAAGTGGCGTTTCTCGCGGGCTCGAGCAGCGATGAATAATTATTTTTTTTGCTGGTGCCAATGGTGGCAACCTAAATTTTCTAAATGGAAAAGCGGAAATACTAAATACCAAAAATAAAACGTAAAACACCCTAAGTTTTGTTTCATGATGGTCCGCGACCGATTAAAATCGCTTTTTAGAGATTGCAAATCGCAAAATTTCGGGTGCTACTGTAGTATACGTATCAGGGCATTTTCTCCTAGGATTCTTTGGTTTACTGCCTCCACATTGGTATGTACAGTACTGGAGCGCCGTAAGTGTTGTACGAACAGCTCAGATTTGTCGAATTCACAAAAATACGAATCAAAACAAAATATAATCGGGCACTTTACCGCGCATTTTTGTGTCCACGGATTGTCATGGTATTTTCTGAGTAGTATTGCTTTTATTTCGTTAACAGAACAGCATATTATAATGATCACAATTAAATTAATATTAAAGCAAGACGATGAATACTTTTTTTGATTTACTAATATACTTTAATTACGTTTTTAATAGGTACTAAATCAAGATGTACTTTCTGAAAATTTATAACAGATAACAAATTCTCAAGTTCGCAAAAAATATTTAACAAAACTAAACTTGAAATTCGTTAAAATTCTGTTGTGTTTGGTTTTATTACTTCTTCATACAGGATACAGTTGCAATAAACGCACGGCAAAGGTTTTTGCCGGTGAGAAAATAGTCTGCGACCAAAAAAGGTTGGGAAATGCTGGCCTAGTATCAAGCGAATGTTTCATGGGTGTTTGTCTACTGTTTTGCTCAGAGATCAGAAAAAAAACCTTGATTAAATCAAAGTATTTGCATTCTGCATGAAATAAATTGCAGGTACTCAGGGGCGCAGCCAGGGGGGAGGTTACATGGGTCGTAACCCCCCCCTTTGGAATCTTTTTTTTTATTTTTAATAGTGTTACGTTTACTTGCAATAATTTTATTCTTTGCGTTATCACTTTCGCCCAGCGTCCTAATTTATTATTTATGTTTACGATTCGTTATCGCTGTTACGCGGCAGTGGATCTAGTTGCCAGCGGGGGGTCACGGAAGTGACAATCTACACCAAACATTTTTAAATACAATTGTACTATCTTTCACTTGACACAAATAGCAACGGACGTATCACACTATTGCCGTCAAAACTATTCCACAAGCGCGCTCTCGCCTCGCCACATTCAACGCATCCATACTTTTAATCACATACGTTATCGTTGGTTATCGGCTTATCGCTAATTACGAATTTTAGTTATGTAGTGCATCTTTAACAAGCGATGGCACCAGGATCATAAGCAAATAACAGACAAAATGAATTATTGGAAATGTATGGTTCATTAACAAAGGATTGCCAAATGTGGCAGCATCGAAAAAAGGTGTCATAAAATAATATTCAATCTTCGAAAACAAAGCATTGCAAAATAATGTTCAATCTTCGAGTAAAAAGTATCGTAATATAATGTTCAATCTTCGGGAAATTTTTTTTTAAAGAATAATGTTCAATCTTCGAGATTTTTGGGTAGCAAACTCGTCCAAGACTCGAAAAGCAGTTACATGCGTTGTCTTCCAGATCTTTTCAATAAACTGGTAACAATATGTTATTAAATTATAATTAAATTATTATAGTTAAATTATCGCTGAAAGTGAAGAAGCGCTATGCGCAGAATGCAGCTATCACGGGCGCGGGATTTCAAATTCGCGACGATTTCACTTTCAGTAATATAGGTCTCGATGCATTGCAATAAAAATTAGAATTTATTAACAGTTAATTGCAACAAGCAAGAGTTTTACATTGAAAGACGTTCCCAATCAGTACGATACATGAGCTTGTTTTTAAATGATTGTAATCGTTTTATGAAGTTATAAATACGGGAACATCAAATATATTTATTTTGGAAATGAATTGATATTTCGTGACGCACTCAAAAATAGTTTATGAACCATTGGCATTTGGCAAATATCATTAATTTATGCTATTTCTTAATGTTTCATGATTGCTAATATTTCATTCTATTCTTATTTTACATTTTTTGCGGTATTTCAATTAAAATCATGACGATGGCATTTTATTTAACTGTTGACAATGGGGTAATAATCGGCGATTACTAAAAGGTTGAAATGGGACATGCCAAAACAAAATAAACGAATTGACGCCTGTCAAAGGGGGCAGGGTCTGGCGACAAATAGCCACATGTGTCGGTGTTTCTCTATCATCGGCATTTTCGGCATCACTTTGAAACTCTAAAACGCAAGGACACCCCGCGGAGTGAAGACTTTCTTTCGCATAGGGAAATATTTGAATTACGATTGCTGAATAAGCGAAAAAAACAAATGCTTATTTTCTTGCTTGAAACAACGATAAACCAATTTAACCCTGTTGCCAAAAGTAATAGCATGCATTATTAACAAACTGGTAATAATATGTTGATAAATCGCCGCTAAAAGTAGAGAAGCGTTATGTGCAAATATCACAGGAATTTGAATTTGCGACGAATCCACTTTCAGTAATATAGTTAACGGCGCATTGAAATGAAAAGTTGATTGATTTTTTTTGACCAAAGATAATGGTCGGCGATTGCTGAAAGTAGGACATGCAAAGAAAGGCTAATGAGACACAGCGACGCACATGTTGTTTTGCCATCGTCGGAACATCTTTTTAAAGACCTATAAACGCGTTTTTATTTCACCGTAACCCCCCCCTTGAAAAAATCCTGGCTGCGCCCCTGCTGAGGTACTCCTCTAGTATGTTCTAGTGTCCGCCATATTGGTTCGCATACTACAGGAGTACCAAATTGCACTGTGAATAAATTGCATAAAATCTCATGTGGTAAATAAATTTGCATTTTTAATTTCAAGGTAGCAAGAATATATTTCGATCCAATCTCTCCAACATGAAAACAATGAATTGCGACAAGAAAATTTGATTGAACTGAACAAAGTTGCCGGACACAGACCAAGGTCTACTTTAGTCTTAAGTACGAAGTATTTTTACAAGAACCAGTACTAGCTTTGCTCATTTTGTACTGCAATATTTATTCTATTATCTTTACCTGTATGATATTTTCAGGCATAAATGTTCGATTTTTGTTTTTACTGAACACTGGAGCCCGGCCCACCAAACCATTCAGTGTGGCCCTTGTCAACACTCAAATTTCCCCATCAAGCATATGTACCCCATCAATACATGTTTTCATTGTTTTGACTTGTGTTGTGTCTTTATTATTGGAACGCTGAGCAACAGTCGTATTCTTTTGTCTTTCTCGCATTGTGTGGCCCGGCTAACTGTATGAAGTTGGTTATATGGTCAACCCAAAAATGTTGCACACCCCCCTTAATAGTAAAAAAAATAATAAAATGTAAATCTCAAACAAAGTTATGTTTGCCAAATTCCAATTTCTGTCTCCAAGGTATTCAGCAAGAAAATAATGCAATTCGGTCCCTACAACATGAGAATGATGAATTGCGACAAAGTTTGACCGTCCACCAGAACGCATTGGAACTTATCATGACCAAGTACAGACAGCAGATGATGAAATTTACTAAGCACCAGAAGTATGTGGATCTTGTCAATGTATTTCATAATCTCAGTGAGAGGAAAGTCTATTGTTTTACTATAAAATGGCTGTATTATTTCTAATAAACATTTAATTGAAGTTTCAGTCTTTCAGAATACCTTATGGTTCTAATACGAACAATCCTATTTCCCGTAGAAATGGCAAATTAAGGTTTTTATCCTAGGTTTTGGCCAGTTCAGTGCAGTGGCTCCAAAAGTTTACATTCAAATGCGACAGTCTATATAATATATGTACAGGGTGTCCATGAAGTCCCTTTACAATTTCAATTTTGTTGTGAAGTCAGTTCTCAATATATCTTGACCATTTTTTTTTTAAATCGGTAATTGTTTAAGTATTGTTACCTCATTTAATACATCTGTGAGGGCCGAAACAATATATGGTATCGATAAATTTCTTTACAATTTTAAAAAATTTTACGACTTTATGGACACCCTATATATTGTTTGAATAATATCGAATACTTGTACTTGTATTTAAAACAAAATATACTTTTTATCAGGTTTAACATTATTATCAGACCTGCTACACTTTAAGTTTCGCTATGTTTTGAAAGTATTAGTGTTAAGTATTGTACTGGGGTACCTTGAGCCTATGGAATGTTCCAATGGGTTCCACCCCACCAAAAAGATTGAGAACCAGTGGATTAGGCATATTGGAGCGACAATTCTAAAAGCTAAGAAGAACACATTATAGCATGGGGTGTGCAACCTTTAATACAGGACGTCCAGATAGAAATAACTGGGCGAAACCTGTTACAGCATTGTAAAGTCGTAGTCATGTATTAACTAAACTCAGGTATTGGTTTCGCAACGCACAGGGATTGGAATTACTTGCACGTACCAAGTTGATTTTAATTGAAAACTGATTTCGCGGTCTGTACACCATTCAAAATTGCCCTCTTGTGGGCCGCATTTGGCCCATGGGCCAGTCGCAGGTTGCGCACCCCTGCATTATAGTATTTGTAAATTAATATTAAAAATCCAAAGCCGTATAGCTGAATAATATTCACAATGAATAATTACTAAGATTTACTTGGATTCAAATATTTCAACAAAATCAATGAACTGTGGCAGTTGAATCGTTGACAGCATTGACAGCATTTTTAGATTTATTTATATCTTTCGTTTTCAGCATCCAGATCACTGAAAATGCTTATCAAGCAGAAAAACAATATAACAATAAGAAGAGAATATGGAACTCATTGATAAGGTAACGAGACCAAGGTTACTCTAGTCCACAGTTATGTTGTAGTGCTTGGTTACGCTACCCCACAATTTCGGTTACCTCCGACCACCACAAAATTGTGGAATGGCAAATTGTAGGCTTGAGTAACCTTGCGTAACATTGAGCATTTTTATGTATAATCTCATAGTAGAAACAGTGTGTACCAATATGGAGGTAACTAATTTTGTTCGCCTATTTTACATCAGGTGTAAAGAGACTGAAATCTATGGGCAGAGAGTATATTCACTTAGCTAACACAGACAGTCCCCGAACTCGTAATAGAATAAGGAAAATATGAATGAAATTATGGCCTAACCCTAACCTGGTACACACACTAAGGCAGTACTGAAATAGGCATCCTGATTAATCAAGTTCAGTTTATTATATATTTGCCACGGATATCAAACAATATGTGATGGGCTACTATTGTTTGAAGGACTGGAACCTTTCTTACTTGGCAATCTTGTCATAAGTAATGCTGGAGGTTTGACAATAATTATTCAAACAAAATAATTAAGTCACATGGTGGCGCTAAAGGTTCATTTATCCCAAAACAAAAAGATGGCGGTTTTAAAAACATTGATTATTTTTTCATGTTTCAGATCCACGGGATGGCTGCTGTGATGAGGCATGCTGCGAATGTTGACGATGAGCAATATCTCAGAGATTACGGAGAATTATCCCGATTGCAAACAGAAAATGACGTTTTAAGAGAAATGCTGATGATATTTATTTCATTTGGATTAAGACTTATAACCACTGAACAGAAAGATTCTGAAAAGACTGAAAAACCAGAGAATGAACCTGAAATGGTGCTCACTGACGATACTACTAGTGACAAGACAGTTATACATGAGGGGGAATCACCCTAAGACTACTCCCAACAATCAGTCAAATAATTATATTACAATAGGGAGGAAGTTTATGTTCCTTTATCTTGTTATTCCTTGTGTTTCTATTGAAACTCAGTATTGAGAAAATATCTGGTTTATACAAAGTGCTCAGCACAAGGCTGTAGGCCAGGGTTTTCCAAACTGAGGTCGGGTCATCTTCTTATTACTGTTATACTTTGTGTTTTTGTTAAAGAGAAAAAACTTATTCGTGTACTTTGCTACACAAGCAACACACAGAGAAGGTTGTGATTAGCACTCAAAGACAGCTAGTGGTTTATACGCAAGGGGGAATCCCCATGATTATTTTTTCTGAGAGTTACACTCAAAAAACAAAGTAAAAAAAATAGGAGAGAATATATGTTCCTCCCATCTTATTGTTTTTTTTGAGCTCGGTATTGAGAAAAGTATAATCTAATTGATTTGCTGTACTCCACACAAGACCAGTGGTTTCAAACCAGGGTTCATTCCGCCAGTACAGTCAAAAGGGTTCTGCAATTTTAGATTCCGGTAGTCTATATTATTATATCGGTACTCCCGTAGTATGTGTACCAAGTAAGGGTCAGGGCATAATTTCATTCAGATTTTCCTTATTTTAGTTCTATTACGAGTTCTAGGACTGTCTGTGTTAGCCAATTGAATATATCCCATAGGTTTCAGTCTCTTCACACAACTTGATGTTGGCGAACAAAATTAGTTATCTCCATATTGGTACACATACTTCCGGAGCATCCCTTACTCTTGTTATTCCTTGTGTTTCTATTGAAACTCAGTTTTGAGAAAATATATCTGGTTCATACAAAGTACAAGGCTGTAGGGGGTAGGCTGTCCAGGGGTTCTGCAGGTTTGCATTGAAATCCTGTAGTCTATATTATTATATTTGTAATGTTTGGATATAATTAAATACACAGATATAATATAATAAGTGTGTTTCATGAGAGACTTTCATTTCCTCTACATTAGAGGTAAGAACAATTCCAGCCCGACCTAGGCCCGTATGAAACCGACCCGAGCCTGACTATTTAACTGGATTTGCAGGCCCAAGCAAACAAGAAATTTCATATTTTAATCAGGAGATCTCTTGCAAGAGTGTCGTGTTGATGAGGCAACTTTTTTGCAGACCACGGTCTTTCGTGGCCAGAACGCCCCACTTGAAAAAAAATCAGCGATAGAGAAGCCCGACTCGAATTTTGGGTTCGGGCTTCAGATCTTAGCTCTACTCTACATCAAATTTCTGTTTCACATTTTTTGATTTGCATATTATAATGTATAATCAGTTACACAGGGGTTCTTAAGCCTTTGATGGGTATCTTGGGGTTCCTCTCATCAATAAAAGTTGAAAAATCTTTGCTCTAGACAAGAAACACTCGAAAGAGGTTCTGGTTGGCACTCAAATGAAGACATTATTTCCAATGTCAATTTTTATGTTTCCAAATTCCACGACTTGAGCATTCGATGATACATGAGATAGGAGAGCAATAATATTTGCACAACTGTGACAGACTTAGCATTTTAGAGTTTTATACCAATTGGGGTTAGAGGTAAACGGATGAAATTGCCCTTGTCCCTGTAGGTGGAATTCTACAGCTAGTCTTACTTCTGAACGAAAGCAATAAATGTTTTTTATTTTATAGTTATCATCATACTGTGGAATGAATTTTTATTTTTGGCAATTTTCTCGCTATTCAGATACCTTCAGAATTAATTATGGTAAATGGTAATTCAATAATAGCTAGCTTGTGCGAAGCGAACTACTCAAGTCATAAGATCATTAACCAAAATTTTTGTGCCTGCGACTACAGGAAAGACTATCGTATGTTAAATGAAGCTGTGGCAGCCGCAGTTTTACCCAGTTATTTCTATCTGGCCCTAAAGGTTGCGCACCCCTGAGGGAATGGCCGAATAAACAATCTAGTACCGGTTATTTGAATACATACTGAAATAGTATTTTTGAACATATTCCTAATGTTTAGTAAAGGATTCGTTTCCTGGATATTTATTTGAATCAGATTGGACATTTCTGATACTCATGTTGGCTTTATCCAGTAATAAAAATGTTTAAATTTGTCATACAATCAGATTCATTCATTAAACTATTTTATTAAAAAGTCAACTGAAAGCACATTTGCTGAAATATTATTGGTTTGAAGACTCCATACCAAGGACTTTGTTATTTTATACACAACTGAGCGCTCCAGAAGTATGTGTACCAATATGGAGGTAACTAATTTTATTCGCTTACCTTACATCAAGTTGTGCAAATGGACTGAAACCTAGGCAGGGGTATATTCACTTGGCTAACACAGACAGTCCCCGAACTCGTAATAGAACTAAAATAAGGAAAATTGGAATAAAATTATGGCCTGACTCTAACCTGGTGCACACACTACGGGAGTACTCACAATTGGACTCCATACCACTTATAGTGTAATAAATTGGCCATAAAAATTATGGCCTGACCCTAAGACTGGTTTTATACATTTGGAGTAAAAAATTAGCCGTCCCCCATATTGAAACAATTTCAGCATGATAATCAATTTTGCAAGATTACACATTCTTTATATCAAATTGGTTTGAAAAACACTTAATGCATATCAAATTATTTATAAAGTTGAAACATATAAAAAAATATTTTACTGGAACAATAACTCAGTGGTATTTTTGCTTCAGAACTCTTAATGGTTTGTAAATATAGTATTGGCTTGGTCGCATAAATTGTTATAAAAATATTAACACATTCGTTTATGTTAAATTGGTTCGAGCACACATAGGATAGGATAGGGATAGGATTTACATATTTATCCCGGGGGAGAGGAAAGCCGATAAGACGGCTTATCCATATGGCGAACC